AAAAACAAAGCGAAAACAACGCAAAGTCTCAAAAAAACAAAAAAAAACAAACCTCTCTAAACATTACTAAGATGCTAATGTGCAAAAACACAAAACACAACAAGGAAATGGCTTCAGGCTTTTGGATGAAGGATAAATTCTCTCACCCTTCTCCAAAAAAAAAAACCACCAACACCCAAAATCATCGCAGACCCTCTCACCGTCCCCCCTTCTCAAAACACACCAACTTCAACCCTCACCATCAATCCACACTCACAGAGCTCCACCACACAACACCAATCACAAACACACATTCCTCAATAAGCACAACTCAAACAATTCTCAACCTCACACACAAACCACACATATACACAAATATTCATACAGAGAGTAAACCCAACTACCCACCCCCAAAACAAACAAAAACCAAACTACCAAAACCACACACACCAATGGACACCCCAAACAAGAACTACCACAACAACAACAAACACACACACAGCAACCCGCACTCACCAAAAAAACACCAAACAAAACACAATCAAGAAGTCTTGTAGTATACCATTTAATCAGTTTTCTACCTCTTCAACTTCCACGGCTCTCTCCTCAGGAGTCCTAAGATTTGGTGTTTGTTGTGATGTTTATATTCTTGATGGAAGGCACTTAGAGCTTAATAAAAGCTATTTCCAAGATTTTCTTGTGAGTGACCTAAGTTTGTTGAAGACGTTCTGCAAAATTTATTTGGAGTGCTTCTACCCCGCCCTTCTCAACCCCCTAGGGGGGACTCCCACTATGGTCCTTAGCAGTCTTCACCACTGGTTATAATGTTTGTATTCTAGCAACTTCTTGTAGGCTACATGATTCACACTCCTCATTTAGACGGTTTTCAGGGAATTATTGTGGGATTTTTGTTTTGGTTTATTTGGCATTGTGAGTCTTGATAGTTCATTGTAGCAATCTTTTGTCAAAACAGTAACCTAATACATAAGAAATTCATAAATAAGTACTTTATTGTCATCCAGTGTTCATCTTTAAAATTAATTAACTCTGTATTTAAGGTATAATATTATTGACAACGAACTATATTACTTTGTTTTATGCTATTGTTATTATGCTTCTGTAACATGGCCATACAGCCCCGAAAACTCACAGCAACCCAACTATATTACAGTTATTAAGATATTTTTGAATTAGGTAGGTACTTTTGTTGGTGTAATTGTGTTCCAAGTTTTGTTAATTCTATTTTTGTAAAAATACACTATCAAGAATATCATTATTCAAAGTGTTTTGTATTGAGATGTCAAAGCTGTATCACAATGCAATGGCTGGTTCAAATTGCATGTTAATGTGTATGTGCATGTATTCATATAGGGAAAGATGGCCTCACATTATGTTTATAGAAGATGTTTATCTTCACAAGAGCCATCTTACACATTATATTAAAGCATTGCACTTTACATATTATGTTTTAACATTTTTTTAAAAAAGGAAATACTCCTAATGCATTTTCCTTTCTTTTTCTTTTTGAAAAACAGTTTTGAGAACCATATTAAGAGATTAGTGTGAATATTTTCTTTATCAGTACCTCTGATTGATATTTCCCCTCAAGGTATTGTTTGCAATAAACATCCCCTCTTCAGGGAGAGAGAAATAGAAACTAAGTGTTATGGCATGCCTGAGCCTTTGAGGAAACTATATTGCCTGGGGGCTATATGATACCTTCTGTTAAGATTAAGATCCTTAGCATACAGAGGCACTTTGGGCAAGATGAAAAGATAACCAAAATAAGTTTACTGAAACAAGAGGAATGAAGGGTTAACTCCACCCGTAACTATCATGAAGTAACTTAAAACATTACATTACATGGACTGGTGGTAAATGTAGCAGTAGTGCTAAGAAATACCTGTTTTAATTGCTAGGCCTAAGATTTCCGGACAATGTCCAGGCTTCTGTAGCTCTACTACAGAAAGGAGGAGGAGTCCATCAAAGAGCTCTGGGGAAAAGGAATAAACCAACCGAGGCAGGCCTCTGAGGGGTGTTTTAAGCTCCACCCACAAGCTTCCTAAACTATAGGAAAACAGGAAACTAAAGCAGAGAAGAGGAGAAGGCAGAGCCAAGATTTCACACCAAGGCTGGTCAATTCTGCCCTGTTCTATCCATATCCCACTTTTGACAAGGATCCTACTATTTTAAAGGTAAACCAATGCAGGAAGAAAAAAACATATTCCGCTGTCATATTTGGAAAAAGAAAGTGTGGCATGAAATATGCCATAGGATAATGTTAAATGACTTATTGATAAAGAAGGTGAATAACTGTTCCCTTCTAATAAAGAGCAAATGACATCTGTTGCAATGTGAGGGATCTGCATTTCAGTGTGACAGAGCTGACGGAAGAGGTCACAATGAGTCAGTGTAAGTACTGTGCCTTAACATTGATTTTAAAAGACTGACTTCCTCTTCTCTGCAAAGAGAGATGAAAGGCAAGGGCTTACCCCATCCTGGGAAGCACTAACAGCCTTTATTCTCTCTGCTGTGGTCCCACATCTGGCCTTTTTGAACACCTGGGTGGTGAATAGTAGTGGTGGTTACATGAGGTGGCTGCCTTCTTGAGTTGGCATTTGTGCTTTCCCCTCTTCATGAAATGACCCTGACTTATGCTCATGTCATATCAAAATCCTTAATTTTGACCCCCAAACTAGCCCTTGACTTACACATGAGGTCTATTTATACATGAGTGCATATGGTAGTTAGAGAAATACTCTCCCAGTTTCCCTGCATGTTTGAAATACCTTGTTGTTGGCAGCTTGGCTCTTTAGATAGAAAGTATCTTCAGATATACATAAAATAATTCCCTTCAGTGGTTCTGTTCCTTCAAGTACACTTTGATCTTTCTCTAAATCAGATTCATTAAATGCTTTCTGACACCACCATTGCCTCTTGATTAAATTATAGCCTTAAATTCAATTGGGTGTCATGTATTTTTCTCTAGAAGTAAAGTGTTATTAGGATGATAATGCTTCTTTCTCCTCCATTATATCTGCCACATGACTGAAGATTTTAAATCTTTTTTGCTGTTTGGAATCTTTAAAATGTTTGGTTCAGAAAGAAAATAGAATAGAACTCTCTTCTGTGTCTGATTCTTTCTTGGTGAATGATGCTCACGTCTCCTGTAAAATAATGTGTTTCGGCCAAATGTAAGCACCAAAAGGCTTGAGTAACTGATAGTTTTTGATGTACCATAATTTTGACACCATATCTGTATGAATATGCAAACTGCTATTACTACATCTTTTTGGGGATGATGAAAGATTTGCTTCCATGCAATGGGTTTAATTTCTTTTATTGACTGACTAATTGTCTGGACATTTCATTTACTTTTGACACCCTGCTAAAATTTTAGATTTTGACTAATTTTATCCTTCAAGACCACTGATTTTTGTTACATTTTTTTAAATGTCCAAGGCAAAATACATTTTATCTAACAAAATGTCCAATGCTGTGCTTTCTTCATAGGTAACTTTTAAAGCCTCAAGATATTCAGTATCTCCAGATTTAAAGTATGTTCTCCTTGCATATGACATCAAACAGGTAAGAAAGCAGTTGGAAAAGAAACTGCTGAAATACATATTACTGAACAGTCTATGGTTGAAAGAGAGAAAAAATGTTTTCCCTGCTTTGATATTGGTAATATGTGGCAGTGAGATAGGATCAAAGCCTTGGTTTCTTTTGCTGTTTGGAATCATTTTTGGTTTGTTCTGGATGAGTTTGAATGAATTAGATTTGGACTGATTAATGATGATGTGTATGTATAATTTTCAAATGAGTGCTATTCTTTTTTCCTTTAGAGTAAATCTTTTTAGAGTAGTAGAAATCTGTGTTTTTGAGTCAGTATGTGGCTTTTGCAGTAGTGTAACCTTTACAACCACAGAATGTAAATTCCTGGACCAGAAATGACTCCAGGTTCTTTGAAATGGGATTCAAAATCTTCACCTAAACCCACAGATAATTTGGTCAGGTTAAAGCTTCAAAAGATTCTCTAACTGATCCAATTTAATTTGACTGTGTCTCTTTTGAAAGTGGAGGTACACCTCCTGTGCCATCTGCTGCTTACAGCTAATCCGAACTCATACCTTTTTGGATAATATGACTGCTATGTGTCCTCTCAACTTGAGTTGATTGAGCAGGTATTTTAATTTGCACCCACAACTGTGGCTGTGTATGATTCCACTTAAGGCTGTGGTTAATTTCTGACCTTATACAGAATACATTTTCATAAATTAACCAGACTAGGCCAGCAAAAACCACATAGGATCTATAAATTGTATCATAGAAGAGACCACATGGGCCATTTAGTCCAACCCCGTCATTCAGGAAAATCTCTGCCCTAGTAGAGTATAATAACTGGTCCCCAAATGGAAGCATGCATTCCTTATATGAAATAGCACCATGAGGGACTGCACTATATCTGGTACTGTTGGGCTAATGTATACTCCACAAATTCCCATAAAAACACTATGAGGGATTGGTTCCTTGGACGGAAGCCAAGGAAGCACATGGAATTGCCTTAGACTTAACATGGGTTGCATAGGAAACCTACTAAATGTCAGCCCCTGTGGATGCATGGCTACCTGGTATGTTCAAACCTGCTTTCTCATGACCAGTTGTATGGATGGTGCTAGTGTCAGAAGGCTTAGTTGAAATATCCTTTATTGATGCAGACTCCCTATCACCATTCTTGACACCCACGACTGCAAATACTAGATCCTCCTTCAATTCTCCAGGCTAAATACTCTCATCACTTCTGCTCAGCTTTTCCAAAAGTCCTAATTAGGTGTTGTGGCCTATCGGCCCCAAATGGTCTAATGAGTCTGTCCACCTCATAAAGGAGTAGACAGACCGCATAAAACCCTTAACTTCAACTCCAACACACATTCATCAGACTTCAATTCTGGCTATCCTCCATTGGCAGTCGACAAAAGTAGCTCCTTGTGGATCATGTATTCATGTATTCTATAGTACCTGCAAATATTCTTCCAACTGGGGAAATGTTATGGGGGTTAACTCAGCTGTCGATTCCAAATCCCTGTGGTTACTATTATATTTCCTCTTCTTTTTAAATAATATCCTGAAAGTTGCAGATATCCATTTCAATATGTAGCCTTTCCTTGAGAGAAAAATCTAACAATTGAAGCCATTGTGTACATATTTTAAAAATTTCATTTGTTTGGTACAGAAATATATATATGGAACATTAACACATTACTGATGTTTTATTTTCATAAAATGCACATTAAAAGAGTTGTTGTTTTTGAAAGGATCAAGAATAATTTCTATTGCATTTGTGAAGAAGATATCAAACACCGAGATTTTCAAATAGTTGTACTTTAAAATAACAAAAAGGTTATTATTACTGTTTGAATCAGCATAAAAGTTGGGGAGGGCTTTATAATCTTACACAGTGCTTCAAAGTATATTTTTTCTTTCTTATTTTGACAATGTTGTCTGGTAAGTTTTTTTTCTTAAAAAAACACCATTAGACATTGGAACATTGCCTACAAAGGCAAATAATAAACACAGGGGAGTAATTCATATTTGTCAGTGGACAAAGGGTACCTATCCTTCCAGGACTCTAGGTCAAACTTGGTCTTCTCATCCCAGCTATTTGCATATTTAAAACAATTGCTAATTATGAGGACTTAATTTGGTCCTGAGATTAGTAGTGGGTCTGAGTTTCAAATTTTGGAGGTGTTTTGGCAGTGTTGGGTGTCTCACAGGCTATAGCTGGTGTGGGATGGATAAGAGTACTGAGTCCCCCTAGGGGTGAGAAAAAGTGGTATACAAATACTGTAAATAATAAATCAATAAATATCACATAACCTGATCTGAATTCCCTAAGATAGTACTTTTGTGCTATCTGACGGAGGGAATTAGAAAGTACTGTTCTCTAATTTTCCAAGGACAAATTTGCCATTAACAACAATTACTGCATTTCTTTCTTTTTTTTTTCTGGAAACGTGCCAGAGGTCAACATCCAATATCACAGGCCTTGGTTTCAATCCACTTTGAGTAGCATTGCCCTAAACTATCCTGTTACTCTCAGGTACTATAAAAAAATGATGGTGTTAATAAGATTTATCAGGCATTTTGGTGAACTTTTGGAATTCTGCATGGGAGTATCATTTTGTCTCTTGCTCAGGCAAGAATAAAGTTGTATTAATAAAAGAATTGAATTAGGTGCTTTTGAGCCATTGTAAACAAATTACAAGATCTTGGAGTCATCTGGTTTTACACACTTTTGAATTTCCTATGAGAAGGATTTTGACATAGACAAATTTTGATAATTGCTTCCTTACATAGAAACATGAAAAATTACTCTGACATATGTCCATGGTAGTAAGATATGCACAAAAATGGGAAAGATACTGTATTTCCAACTAATGAAGCTGGATGTTAAAACTGACTAACCTTGTTAAAATTGAGAAAGATCAACATTGATTAAAGTCATTGGTGATAGTTAAAAATACTGGATCAAAAGATACTAATATGTTAACTACATATTTTGATAATTAATATATTTGGGTACTATATAAAAAGTAATTATAGTTGGAGAATTTTAGTAGTAGCTGTTGGTATTAAAGTTGGAAGTGAACTATTTGTTGTTTATTCATTTGGTCGCTTCCATGAGATCGCTTCTTCATGATCTCATGAACCAGCCCACACCAGAGCTCCCTGTTGGTCATCCTTTGAGGTCCTTTCTTTCTATTATTTGTTTCTTTTATTGTACATTTTCTTTCATTTATTGTATATGACAGCAGTACCTAATAAATGCATTATTTTTAGAAAAACAAACTATAATTAAAATTTTGTATGACGTCAGGTCTCCAAAATATATAGCTGGTTAGTTGATGCAAATGCATCTGAAACTCATTTGGGAACCTGATTTTGATATGTCTATGACTCCCAATGGAGATGGCTGTGGTATCTCCCTACATTTTAAACCACCCTTTACACAGTTGTGTAAGAACACCAGCAAGAGCATTAATTGTTGGCATACTTGTAGCAGGATCCTTAATAAATGTGCTATTCCCGTTTATCATAAATATATTTACCATTTTAAGCAAAGAATCAGCCAATAAAACAGTATGGTACATTGCTATTGTAGCCAGAGATCACTGCAGAAAATGAGAATTTATTTCACAAGAATTTTACTGCAGGTAATTTTAGCAGCAAATGTTGAGATCATGAAATGCAAAATGATGATTGTATAAAAGGATGACTACAATGTGTGCTAGAAAAGCTGACTTATTATCCAAAAGATATCAGAAAAGGGAACAGGTGAGACAGTTTTCAGGCACTTGGTATCCAAAGACTCTGCTGTGTGATCAGTGCACCAGCATAGCATTCTCTTGTCTCATAGTGTGATTCTGCTCATCATCTCCCATTTCTGTTAAGTCTGCAAAAAGAAATGCTTCCAAAGAGTGTGATAAAGCTTTTTTTTAAAAAAAGAATTATGTTTTTAATCCCTTGGTTGATCAAATTCTGCAGCATCACATGATCTCATATAAAATCAGGCAGTTTGGGGGGCTTATGTGTCTTTAAATATAAATTATTATAAATTATAAATTATTATGAACGTAGTACTCATCCCTTCTTCTCGTCACAATTTATAAATGAGGAATTCGCATGTCGACTGTGAAATTAGATCTATATATTCAATTGGGCTTAGTTCCACATAAGGGTGCAAAAATGCATAGCCTTTGTGTATAGCAAACTATACCTAAACAATAGAAAGAAGTTGTGCATGAAAACTACTGCATAAAAAACTTAATGTAGTTTGAAGGAACTGAAGAGAAAATGAGAACACACGTTTCATCTGACATTTGCCATGAAATTGTAATTAGACCCATAGTTATTTTTATGTTTGGATTAAAAATAAATTCAGAGTTAAATATTTATTTTTCTTGTGTCAGCATTTTCTTTAATCTATTTTATGCTTCGAATGGCAAACTTTAATTAAATTTGCAGTTGTTTCAGCACAATTAAAAATACTCTTTATGCATAACGGGAAGTAGATTTGCATGAAAATAAGCTGTCCTTGAATACAAAAAGTAATAAATGAGTGGATTGTTGAAATCATGATACATAAGAAAGCTGTTAGATGTGGCTTTACAGCTGTTGTGATGTCGCTCTATAAACCTTGACTATTGAAAGAAATATGTGTTTGATTCTTAGTGCACAATGTTCTTTTCAGGTTTTGTTTTTCAGGACAGATGCTTATCAGCCTTTTCTGAATATAAAGAAACACCCATCTAGAGTTGTATAAAAAGTAATATAGGGAGTAAAAAGTTAGGATAAAGGAACTATATTTATTTATTTTTATTTTTTAATCACCACTCATATGGGCCTATAACATTTTGCCTTGGTTGTCATAAAAAAATCTGATCTTAGCTATAAAATTTCTCACACAGAAGCTACTGATAAATTACACTATTCTTATGTTACTGCACGTGCTGACATGACAAAGGTCATCCAAATGTCATTTAATTTTCAAGGACTGGGTATGAAATATTCATTCCAGATAGACTTAT